AATGCTAAGAACATGCCCCCACCATCTAGTCGTGTGTGGACCACCATGCGGGTAACCAAAGTCAGCATCATATCATAAAATTTTTTTATTCGTTTCAATATCCTTTCTGTGTACAGATATATATGTACATAAATTAATTTTAAGGGTTGCAAGCTGCATGTTGTGCAGGTAGTTGTTAAACCACCTCACACACATGTCCTGCGCGTAGTATGCACCATCCCATCGTACAGATGCCTTCCCATCCCATGCAACCGCCAACCCTCTAATTTATATACATACATAAGACATACATAAATTTAAGCCGGCTGTTATGCGCTTGCGCTGTGCAAAGTGATTTTTGTTAGTTGTTATTGGGGAAATGCAAAGGAATGCTCTTCTGGCTTCGATTGATGATGCCTTTGTAACGTCTTTTTCGATATTAAATTATTGATTTTTGAACTTCTTTTACGAGTAGGGATTGGAATTTTATCTAAAGTGCATCAAAAGGAATAAATAAATAATGTAGATAAACATTATAACCAAGATGAGTTATGACTTGATCAATTGTAAATTAAATTGAATGTATGTATTCTGAAATAAACGACTTCACATTCTAGATTTTGCATCTAAAAGCATTGCACTTACTCACTGAGTCAACTAGAAATCTATCTGTCTATTGGAATAATCCTTAACGGAACAAGTAAAAAAGTCTAAGTTCGGGCGGATCCGAACCTTAAATACCCGGCGAAAGTATAGATTAGTATAGAATTTTCACCTCTCCGAAAACTACTGCTACATAGTAAGCAGGGGTGGTTATACCGCTATTTCAAACATCTTCAATAGAACGTTCAGTTAGACATAATGAGATAAACTTATATTGTTATATCCAAAATTTTATCATAAATGTATTTTTTGCTAAAGAATTATTGCAACCATAACATTTTGAATGAATTAGCTTCAGTATTTACTGATTTATCGAAGATTTCGCATTTCTCCAAATTACCGTTACATGGGATGTGGGCGTGGTTATTGTCCGATTTAAACAAATTTTCACCCGTTTGGTATGTTGTACCAAGGCCACCAACTGTGCCAAGTTTGGGAGAAATTGGTGAGGCGGTTACCAAGATATACACATGTAATTATAAGTGGGCGTGCCTACGCCCATTTTCCAAAAAATTTATAATATTCTTATTTTCCGTCTAAAAATCATTGTAAATATAAATTTTGAGTGAAAAAAACTCAAAATTATGGTTATGTTCGTACTTCATGCACTTTTCTATTAACAGCTTGACCATTTTTCATCCGATTTTAAAAACCAAACATGCTTTGAAAAGAGGATGCATAAACCTTTAAAATGATGTAAAACAAGGTTTCTTCTTAACATTAAAATACAATCGCCGTTCGGAGTCGGCGTAAAACTGTAGGTCCCTCCTCTTTATATGACAACATCAAGGCGCACGCCACAAATCGGAGGAGAAGCTCGGCCAAACACTAACATATGTGTAAGCGCCAATCTATTATGTTATTATTATTATAACAATATATTATTAGACTTATCTTACCTCATTGCGAGAGTCGTGTCGAATGCAAGTCGTTTTTCGACAGTCGAAAATTGCATGTCATTGCCTAAAATTTCGAAAACTTGGCAACACTGCATGCCAATGTTGTCGAGTCGTACAATTTATCCGAATTTTCGACTTGCGCAATGAGGCTGAATATTTTATGAATACTAACGCCACTGCTCTTAACGCCATAAACACTCAAATAAACCTTAGTCTCAACGAAATATCGAAAGATAGAGAGAGATATTTGGTGACCCGGGACCGGAAGCATAGTAGTCTGTAACAACAGATTCTGGCACTTACTCTGAGAATTAGTAACCTTTATTACCAGGTTCTAAGATAGGTCAATTGTTGTTGTTGTTTTAGCAGCAATGCTCAACTCCCCAGGTTCTGTCATGAATTATTATCTTCATCCTCCGACTCTGCAAGCCTGCGGTGGAGAAAGCGGGCGGCGTCGATGGGCGCAGTCCAGAGTGCTTCTGGTGTCAGTGCCGTCGAGTTGGAGGTGCATGTGAAGAGGTACTGGGAGTTGTGAGGACTTTGCCCACATGTGGGGTAGGTGTTTGCCCCTTCTGTATTCAGCCGAGAGCGATAGCTGTTAAGACGGTGACCCCACCCAGAACGGAGTTGTGCTAGGGTCTATATTTATGGGCGGTAGTTGAACGCCTAGGACGATTTTGCCTATGTGTGCTGAGGCTCGTTCTGACTGCATCGCAACGTGGGCTGTTGGGCGCTGCTCTGTATCTCGCTGTGGCGAACGGATGGTCTACGAACGGCTCCATGTGTAGCTTCCAGTCGTTCCGGTGACATCCCACGAGGTATTTCATCAACAGCATGTTGTTATGCTCTATCACCGCCAGCATCTGGCTTTCTTCGTAGAGGTAATGCTCAGGCGACATGAGATGGCAACCTAGAGCTGCGTTCTGGCATGTCTGAAGATTTCTACACTGCGTTTCGCTCGTTCCCGCCATCCACACTGGCGCTACGTAGCTGGCCACTGACCGGCCGATTGCCTTGTAGGTTGCGAGCGGGCTTTCTTTATGGGCTCCCCAGGTGCTGCCGGCTAGCGACTTGAGGACTTTGTTCCTGGACCGTAGTTTCTTGCAAGTGGCTAAGGCGTACGCGGAGAAGGAGAAAAGGCTATCGAACGTCAGTCCCAGAATTTTGAGGTGACTGGTCGTCGGTATTTTGGCGCCATCGATGAAGACGTCCAGTTCTAGCCTGATCTCTTTGGTCCAGGTTGTGAAAAGTGTGGCGGTGAATTTTTCGGCGGAGATTTTGAGGCTCCTTGCAGTGAAGAAATTTGAAAGATCGGTGAGATAGTCGGTTATTTGATGGTAAAGGCTGTCGATGTTGGGTCCCGTCGCCATTATTGTGCAATCATCAGCGTAGCTTACCAAGTTGACTCCAACTGGCGGCAGATTGAGTTATGCCATGTAGAGATTAAACAGTAGAGGGGGAGAGCACGCCGCCTTGAGGAACCCTTCCTGTTTAATTCGACGCGGCTTCGACTTGGCGTTTCGAAATTCGACTGGAGAATGACGGCCACACAGATAGCTGGTTATCCACCATTTTGTCCAAGCTGGAAGCGACGAGTTGAGGACGTCTTGGCAGAGGGTCGCGTGGGTCACCGTCTCGAATGCCTTCGATAGGTCAACTGGAACTTGGACCGCCCTATCACAGGGCCGACGTTAGTTCAGACCCTCGCCAATCTGTGTGGTGATGGCGTTCAATGATGTAGTCGTGCTATGCATTTTCCGGAATCCATGCTGGTGTTCGGCTAGCTTCAGATGCTTCGTCAGTCTGGGGAGGAGTAGTACCTCCATGGTTTTTACCACTGGAGATAGGAGGGAGAAGGGTCTGTACGAGTCTCCTGCGTCCTGCGACAAGTTGAACGCGGTGGTCATGTAATCGACTCCCACGGGTCCTAGCTGTTTCAGCATCTGCATAGAGAATCCGTCTGGGCTTAACGCCTTGGATGCTTTCGCGTTGTTGACCAGCGTATCTTCAGAGGTAAGATAGGTCAGTCGTGATCTTTGGTGCAACGATTGGAAAATTGTGTATCATCGTTAATGGCATAGACCAGATCGACTTCGAGGAAGCAAAGAAGAGGTAGTATTCGAGAGAAGAAAAGAAAAGCCAGAAAACGTGTGTACCAAGAGCTTGTGAGGTTGGTTGATTGAAATGGCGCGCGGAAATTTAACTAAACATGCGATGACATACAAAAGGTTTCAAGAGTGGTGCATGTTCCACTTAAAATGAGAACTGCTAACTGCTAACTGATGTACAGAAAACATTTCGACGCCAGACACCGTGAAGGGAACCCCTACCCAATCGATGATGATAGAATAAATTTTCCATAGCCCGACTACGAATGAATTGGAAAAGTGATCACGGCGCCCAAAACCAACTCTTTTGCAGAATATGGTCGCAATAGTCTGGTATATGTGTCAGCTGTCTTGGCGTCAGCCTGCAGACCAAGCATGCTATATACCTAAATTTTGGGATCCTCTTAGGCCTATCCACGCCGTTGGAGATCAAACAAGGTTTTAGACAAGACAACTCTCATGCGAAACATATGCAACCAATAATATCGGCACAACTTAAATACAATTTCCCACGAGCCTTAGTGCCGAACGAAAAAACCTATTTCACAAAAACTTGAATTTCATCAATCAGACATTTCATTAAATTGCAAAAATTTACGTACGTACATACATATATACATATGTACATACACATGCATGTATGTATGTATGTATGTGTGTAGCACCGCTCAAACCCATAAGACGTGAGTCAATTTAAAATGTAACCGCCACTTGCTGGTGTTGCGCGCAAAAATTCAATTCGAGATTCAACGTACACTGCCCCAGCAACAAAAGGCGCGCAATCGCTAACTTAACAGTCCAGTGCCAACTACTAACAAAAAAAAAACAACATTCATAAGCAAACATACACACACACGCTCCATAAATGCGCCAAAACGATCAACAACCAAAGCGCCATTTAAAAGGCTAAACGTCGTTGCCTAGGCAGCTGCTTGTGATTGTGGCTGTTTGGAGCGCATTCGAATTTCGTTTTTATAACGAAAATTTTCAAAATTTTGAATTTGCGCCGACGTTAAACTTAACTGACTTGGCGCTGAGTGTGCAAAAAGGCAGAGCGCTTCCCAATGGCAATGGAGAAATCAATGTGATCTCTCGTTCGTTGTGGAGCTGAGTGTAGTAGACTGTCGCAAGTGCTTAGGTAAATGCTATGCACATAGGGCACTCGAATATCTTGAGTTAGCAAAATGAGCGACGAAAACTTGTTGATTCGCAGCGTTCTCTACACAAAGCACCCAAACGCGCGTTGCTCTCCAAGCGCTCACTGCGAAGTGATCTCCCTTTCTCGCTGTTGTTGGGAGTGAGTGGCAGAAAAAAAGCTGGAAAAATGCGCACTAGGAAGTAAATAAAATAGTTCATCCGATCAAAACTTGTTTATTATTATTTTTTACTCTACACACGTCTTAATGACTTCGCTAATGTTTTTTTTTCCTCCAGACGTTGCTGTTGTTTTTCCCCTTTTGAATTGCTTACTGTAACTGCTGATCGTTGGAGCGTGTTGGGAGCTGTGACCAGGTACAGAAGTCATCGAATGTTGTTCAATTAGCAGGCAACTAGCTGTTTAGTTGTGGCTAAATTCTTGAACTGTACGCCTCTGAGCTGACGCACGCGTTTCTGATCCTCTGCCATTTTGCTGGCTTATTTTTAAAGCTTTCAGCAGTTCTTTGATTACTTTTGTGTTGGTCAGTTGATTCTGAAAATTTAATAATTGACTGCCAGCGCACACATATACATAGGTATCTACATACATCACACATACAACTCGGTTGGGAATAGCGTCATTGCTTGTCGCATGCGTCATACTTGCTACGTCGTAAAATTTCCTGGCGATACTTCGTCATCAACCATCGCACGTTTTTTTTGTGCCTGCTTCTCGTTTAAGTAGTGATGAAATTAAAGCTACTCAGGCGTGATGACTCCAGCATAACCATATTTCGCATATATTTATGTAGTACATTACTGTACCCGTTTGAATACAGAGGAATGCTATGTGCGAAGAGTAAGTAGTAGTGCTACGTTGTTGGACAGGCAACTCAAATTCGCCTGCGGCACATGCTCGAATTCCTCGAATTCCAATTGTTGAAGTTAGTCAGCCAGCCAGCCAGTCGACCCAACAACCAAATGGAAGTGCCAGGGAACTCTTATTTTCGCCGCTTCTTTTTTCATTTATTTATTTCGTTGGTCATACGATGCCATTTATTGCTTGCAAAAAAACAAACGGGCGAGTGCGTTATAAATAAATCAGATTGCGCTTGTCACATGTGCCGTTCCACTGCTTTTGATGCATTTGTACTCTGCGCGGATGATCATTTGCGGTTGTGTGAATGAATGTCGTGCCTTTGAAATGATTGCACATTTATTGCTTTTATTATTGGCAGCAGTTCCATCATGGCTATTTTTAAGTAATTAATTTAAGTGCTTTTGTATCGAACTTTGTTACTTCATTACCAAATTCCGACATCCTACAGGAGCTATGTATGGGGTCGCTCCATCTCTTTTTCATTTGTTACTATTGCTAATAAGATGCAATTTTTGTGCATTACTAAATATGCCTATAGCACAAAATAAACTTCAAGAACAGCACATCCAATTCTAGGCACGTAAATCCTTCCAGCCTCATATTGATATCCTTCATAACCAACTATGTACATTCAACTTGTATCCATCTCTTCAACATTTTCTCCTCTTTCGCATCCCATTATTCTAGTGATTTGGCACGTGTGCTCTCGTACCTCGTTTCATTTGTCAGTAATAGCCTTTTATTTAGTTCGCTTTATAGTAGTACGCGCAGTAATTTTTCATTTAATAAACTTTTTAATGCTTTTTAGTTTCAGCCGCATTTTTTCCGCGCTTATTGCATGCCATTGAACTGTCCGGCAACTGAAGGTTCAATTCATACATAAATGTACAGATCATTCACTTTTGCTGCGAGAAGACAACAACACAGTTCTACTCACATTTACTTATGATTACACTCCCGTCTGGTCAGTGTTTGATTTTTTTTTTGCTTTCAGGTTTTTGAAATGTTGAGGTCGTTTTAATTAATATGCGATGTACGCGCTGATCTCTGAGGAATTGTCTGTGAAAGGCGAGGGATTTTTTGTTGAAAGTTTAGTCATACGAGTATAGAATGAGTTGATGTGTGTGTACACGCATTTAAAAACAAAAATCTTGGATTGCGAATTTCTTTGCTGAAACATAACTAAGCCTGGCTTAGACAAATCTCTCTGGGCCCATTCGTGGTCTAAAAAGGACTTAATTTACGACATATTTGAGTATCGAAGAACGAAGTATCATGTAAAAGTTTCAATTCTCTAACAAATGAGAACATATTTATTTATTTTTTGTGGAAAAGTTGTGATTCTTGTAACAGGTTTTTCACAAAGCCTTGAATCCTATTTCACAACCGGTCGGTATGGAAATAATATATAAAAGCTTTCAATGGGCGTGGCTTTTTCTTCTCCACACATATATTTTTATACATATAGTCGTTTAAAAAACAAAACTGCTTACCGTCGTTCGGCAAAACCGCGTAACTGAAATTTTTTGTCAAAAATTGGTTTTGCTCAAACAAGCTCTTGGCTCAAGCCTTATCCATTCGTCCTAAAATATACTAGCCAGAGATGCGATTACTTTATAAAAAAGAGAACCATTTTCAAATATGAGTGTTTTTACACTCTAGCAAATAACTTATGCAACCGCACATACGCGGTTTTGCATTATCTTGATACGCGGTTTTGCATTTTGTTGATACGCGGTTTTGTACTTTAAACGACGATATGTATTTATGTACATACATTTTTCATTGAATGAGATTCGTCACCCTATATTGAACACGGAATCAATTTCAAAAAAAATTTGAACGGAGCTTAGGACACATTTGGTGCTATACATATGTAGGTGCCGGAATGCATCGTAGATTAGGGCAAACTGAAGTCCATTGGAAAAACAAACGCTGAGAGACATACATAGAAATCGAGTCCTGAGTAAATAAAAGCTGAATATAAAAAAAAAAAAATTAAAAACAATTCCGAGTATGTGGGGTCATGGATGCAAGCTATAATGAAAGCTAACCTGAGAAAATACTTGTATCGATACGGCATGACTAATTAATTAGTTTACGCTCCCTCTAAATGGCAAATGTTTTTATGACAAGCCTTTTCATAGCAGATGCCTGCCAAGTTGCGATTATTAGGAGTTCTCGAAAGTGATGTTTCATGTGCCAAAAAGTGGACCCGAGAACTAATGGATCTAAACGCAACTCTATAAATTCGGCTAAGATCACTGTTTTAAGATTATGTCGTTTTACAATAGGTTTGTTCCACACGAGGGATCCCGCGGGTGCCGAAAACAGCCCAGAAAGCGTTCCTCACGCTAGAAAAACGGGTAATAGAGAGCGAATGCCTTCCACTTTTGGAGCGCAAATGTCTTCTTTTTCATGCCGCGCAGAAATGTGCAAAAAGTCAATTTGAAATAACAGCTGTTGTTTGTTGGATCCGAAAGCAAATTTTATGAAATACAAAAATGGATAATAGCGCTAAGTTTCAGAAATGTAGGTATTTGCAAATTTTATTAGCCATATAAGCTGATTTGTTGATTTCGGGCACCAAATGTGTTTTTTGCGTTCCTCACGCTCTGGGCACTTTCGGCACGTATTGACACATATTTGACATTTGTGAGAGAGTAACGTATTTTTACGCTCCAATTACCGGAGCAGCCCGGAAAGCGTGTGGAACAAAGCTAATCTCAAAACGAAATTGTTAGTACTCTGCACAGTGGGAAAATTTCGACTGATTTTGTTCAAAAATGGCTGGATTTTTTTTGTAATACTTGGAACGGTTTTTGAAAAGATTGCCTGAGCTCTGACTAAAAAACGCTTTTTACTTGTATCAGCTTATCGATCATTTACTTACAAATTTCGTTATAGGATGATTGACTCGGTTTTTCCAAACCGGTTTTAGCCGGGTCTTTCCAATATATTTTCGCTTTTATTTAAATAGTGATTTTTCGAATATGGAATAAACCGGAGAGAGCAATACCTTGAACAAATAAAATTGCAAAAAATCAACGCTTTATCATACTAAAATTGAATGGGCTACAAAACTGAATATTCACAATTTTTCTAGGAAGTCTAATAAAAGATAGTAACAATTTTACCAAAGTTTATTAAATTAAAAAAAAAATGCACAAAGTTTAAATCTTGGATTTACACGGTTTTTGTTAAACAATAAACTATATTTTTATAAAAAAATAATTAAAATTAAATAACAAAAAAAATGTTACATGCCAATTTCTGGTGCGCTTATAATTTTGACATGGGGTGTTAATAATGGATATTTTTTTTGGCAGGAGAGCTAGTGTCACTTAGCCTGCTTATTTCATTCGCATAGCGCTTAATTTTGGCATTCTAATTTTCATTTCATTTATTTGTTTCTACATTAGCGCATTAAGAATTAATCTTTTATTGCGCAATACAAATAACAGAGTACAACAAAATGTATTAAAACAAGTAATTTTTAGCAAAAAAAACCGACTTAAAAAATATATATATATATATATATTTCATGATCCAATGATCATATCTAAATGAGACCACCTCTGAGACACTACCTTTCCCATGCAAAAAGAATTATCGAAATCGGTTGACGGGGTCCAAAGTTATGCGGTAACATACATAAAAAAAACCTGACGAACTGATAACCTCCTCCTTTTTTAGAAGTCGGTTAATAAAATAAAAATTACAATTATATAAATATAATTATGTATGCATATGTTAATATTAAATTAGAAAAGCCAAATAGAAAATTTATGACCACCTTATTATGCCACTTAACTGAAAAAATATTCAAAGATAAATATTTTGAAATTACTTTCACGCAGTGAGTTCTTTAGAGACAGTGGAAGGGAGTTCCAAAGTCTAACACCATTAACAAAAAAAGGTCTGAAGTGCTTAAGTAATTCAATTTCGGCAATATCAAATTAAAGGAGCGTGAGCTTTTGCAAGACTTAAGCTTTTCATATAGATATTCCGGCTTTTTATAAAAAAGCAACTTAAAATTAAAAATACCTCGTAATTGTAATACATATATGTAGCCAGGTAGTGAGTTTCTAAAGGCCAAATTTTTTCAAGCCATATACATACCTAGTGGCATGGTTGAATGCAACATCGAGTTTGTGCAGGGAATGAAAGTCCATTTTGCTGTACACTACTTCGAAGTAAGTAATAAGGGGAACAATTGTGCTCAAAACCAGTTTCGTTTTCGTGCCTGCAGGTACGAAAGGCGAGGATACTCTCAGGCAACGCAAGGTGTAGTATATTTTACTCACAACTTCATTGACGTGGTCCTGACAAGTCATTCTAGAATTAATAATAAAACCCAAATTTCTCACTTTGCTGTCTAACAGGTCTATTCTGCACGTTACCAAAGATTTTGTAACCGGAAAATTTTATTACCAAAAAGTGTTACCAGTTCTTGTCACCGCGATTATAGTTACGTTGGTAATGCAGTTAAAAAATTCAGCAATTCAGCTTTGAAGAATTGTGGAAATTCTGGCATTGCATATTTCATGGGGCAATACTTTGTTACCAGCTTATGTGAAGTGATGGCATTTCCGAACTTTGTTATAATGCTCATGATTTCGAGAATGCGCTCTGGTGATTTCAAGAATATTCTAAGCTTGCCTTTGTATTATTATGTCTTTATCTTTATTCGTGTAATCTTCTCAACTTGAATGACTCATGCACGCATTAAAGTAAGCTTCCCAAAAAAAATCACCATCCGTGCTATTAAATGGAAGACATGATCAAAGTGATTCACCAACAGTTTGGGTAGCATAATTTTATAGCAACGCGTAAACAACTAAAATATAGCTGATAAATCTCGAAAAAGGTGTTGCATGCATATATTTTCAAATTTATGTAACGTCAATCGAAAATATTCCAAGAAATTTAAATTCCACCGCATTTCTTTGACAGCTTTTGGGGTTCCGCCTACAGTCACATACATACACACATATAATCATACCAATTTTTAAACAACTTTGCTTCACTCGCTTGAATGACACAATTTTACATGCGAATCTAGCTGGCGTATTGCCGCAACTTCACAAATAATCGCTTGCTTGCCCAAGGGGCGCAACGATCGCGCTGGAGAAAGTCTTTCCCAAAGCGAAAGATCGGCGTAAACATTTCAATATTTTACAAGCAATACTCACGCGACGACGATGCAGCAACAGAAATACACAAAGTGGATGTACATATATTGGTTTGTATTAGGGCTGGGAGCTCTATCCAGATTTTTTTTAAATATCCGGATACCCGAATATTCAAATATTTGATTAAAAAATCTGAATATCCGCATATCGGATAACAAAGTGAACGGTTATTAACCGGATAGCTCAAATAAC